TATGAAGTTAAGGTGAACGCTGATCCCTTCCTTCCTTCCTTCCTTCCTTCCTTCCTTCCTTCCTTCCTTCCTTCCTTCCTTCCTTCCTTCCTCACTTATTTTATTCCGTTAGGGTTGCAGCGGGGCCGGTGCCTATCTGGTAGTCTGTGGGCGAAAGGCGGGGTACATCCTGGGCGGGTCGGCAGTCTGTCACAGGGCAACATAGAGACATACATGCAACTAGGCACACACACACACCTAAGGACAATTTAGAGATGACAGTTATCCTAACAGTCAGGTTTTTGGACTGTGGGAGTACCCACAGAGAACCCACGCATGCAGAGGGAGAACATGCAAACTTCATGCAGAAAGACTCTGGGCCGGGACTCAAGCCTAGAACCTTCTTGCAAGGCAACAGTACTACCAAAAAACACCTCAGTCCTCAGTGCAGCCCTACCTTACCATATACGTCCCTGAGGTATATGGAGGGCCAAATTATATCAAAGTACATAAATGTGGATGAAATTAATAAATGCAGCATAAACTAAGAAGTAACATTTGTTCATTAATCTAGTACATGATTCAAACATTACATGTTAATATTAAACTGTAAAATGTGCAAAATAAATAATTAAATGTTCTGTTAAATTATTATATTAATATAATACATTTGAAATACTGAATTGAATGATGGTCATTTACAAAAATACATTTATTCAGAAATGAAAATAATTAATGTATGTTACATATATATATAAAAAAAAACGTAGAATATAGTATTTACATGACATTTTAGGGGGTTGCCAGTCTGTTCCATTGTTACTATTTGGGTCACAGACAGAAATGTTTGGGAAACCCTGTTTTAAAACATATTAGAATTAATCCTTCTTCAAGCATTTTTTCAGCATAAAGGCATATAAATTAACATATGCTTAACTTATATTCACATTTAACAAAATGTAAATGTAGAGGATGGTCCGTTGATGTTGCTGTTTGGGCCATAAACAGAACAGCTGCATTCATACAGAGACTCCACTTCCTAATTTGGTGGCTTTGAAAGACTGTTGGTCTCACTGGATTTATACTTTGGGGTATTACAATAAAGTAATTTGTTTTTTATTATTTGTGAAAACCAGCACTCCTTCCACTCCCTCTTCAATAATACAAACTTTGAGGCTGCTGTAATCAAAATATGTTTGGTGAGGCACTTTACCTGTAGTGTAAAATGCTTTAATAAAACGCTTTAATGATGTCACTTCCTGTTTAAAGCTCTGAAACTGCCACCAGGACGAACAACCGTCATGCACCTGGTTGCCAGGGAGACTCTGCCAGAGCCCAATTCTCATGGTGAGGAGCTTTTTAGTGTTTCTCCTGTTATAAAATCAGGATAATTTATTCTCAGTAGATGTAAAATACTCGTAGACTTTGGTTTGTTTTGGTAAAACAAATAAGGTCCAGATTTATTTAATTTTTTACTTCAAACAGGTCTATCATCTTCCCAGCTCTTTCGTTGTCATTACCTGCTCACGGCTAATATTTATGTTTTAATCTAGTCCCTCTCCCCGTCTTGTCTTCATAGGTCAGAGGAACAGAGAAAAAACTACAGAAAGCAACTGCTGCCTCCTCTTGTAAAGCATCAGAAATAGACCCTGTCCCCTTCACCAACATCATGCAAACTAAACATAACACGCACCTAAACATGCACAAATTCCCTCACTCTTTTCTCCTGCTGCTCATCTGTTCACCTGCAGATCTGGAAGAAACCGCAGGAAGTCCGTTTCAGGGACATGACCCGCTTTGGTTGAACTTTTGTCCGATCTGAGGCTTTTTCTTTTGTATTCGTGCCAATGTCGTCGTCCGCCCCACCCCACCCCCTCTGGCTCTGAGTTTCTACCCTGTCAGCACAGCATTACTCTCTGTTGTTGTTTCTGTTTATTTTAAGATTCTTTAGTACACGCGCTCTGTCGCACATGGTTGCTGATGGAGTTTTTAAAAAGCTGGCATTTTTAGTGTTAAATACCTGAAAGCTTATTGCTTTTTAATGGACTATAAAGGATTTGTGGGCTTTAACCCATCCCTACTATCTACATAGACATTTCCCCAGGTCCTTCTACACTTAACCTGTCTAATTATGAAGTGTTTATTAATCAGTCTCCTTCACAATCATAATTAGTTGTTTTTTGGGTTTTATTGGTCACGTATCCAGACCTAAGATTCCCACATCATAGGAAAAATCCTGCCGTCCTCCTCAGTGACTTTTCCTCTATAACTAACCGATCAGCCTGCGTTCAGTGGTCTCTGTCAGAGGGTCCATGCACGACATTCAGTGAAGAGAAACTGTTAAGGATCCACCGCAGACGGAGACAACCCGGGGAGAAAGAGATGATGTGATTAGAGATGTTTGCACAGGTTTTTAGAGCCTTGACGTGTTGGGTATGATTTTAGTATTTTGTTTTGCAGGGTGCTGACATGGCAGGTAAGGTAAATGCCAGCAGGAACATGAAGGCTGTAGGGAAATATTTTGCCGGTTTTAGACCCAAACACTGGAAGCTCAAAACACGGCAGAATATTTTTATTTTTAACGCCCTGGACTGATAAGGAAAAAATGGAAAATAGGGCGGCTTTTCACCTCCCTCTCATTTGGACAGTCTCTACTTTGTTTGCCTTTTATTGTGGAATTCATTAATATCATTAATAATAAGGAAATTTAAATATCAGTTTTTATCTTGTGTATAGGTATTTGTTGAGTTTTAGTGAGGGTGAGTTTGTGTGCGAGTCTGAGGCTGAGTGATGCACGTGGCATTCTGTGTGAGGACTAGTGAGACTTATTTTTAAAGTGGTGCACTGTGACGGGCCGCGGTCTCTTCACAAACCTTTTGATTCCTTCCATTGAGTGTCCTTTGGTTTGTGTTTTTGTCGATCAGTGTCACTGCTATGAAGTTTTAGCTCAGTATGAATAAATGTAAAAAAAAAAACTAAAATGCAATGTGGTCTACATAAAAGCTTGTATTATAAATTAATAAATCTTTACATAAGGTATCTTTTCTGGGTTTAGATTCATTTTTTAAATTTTTGGTGCATCACAAATCCAAGTAAGAAAATATAGTTCTCTTAAAGCTCCTGTTTTCCTTTTTCACATCACATGTAGTTAATATAATTTAACATTTTGTAACAACTACAAAGTTTAATGCATTTTTTGGGGGATTTTGCATGATGGACCAACATAAAGTGATCTATTTTAATGTAAGTTCTTGAGGACATATCTGCCATTTGCACCCAAACAACTATCTTCCTGCCCTCTAATTGCAAAATAGTTGGAGCTCAGCCAAATTCAAAGTTACGTTTTTGTTGCTGCAATGCCTAATCTAGGTTAGATAAAACAACTTCCATTCGCTCTTCCCCTGAGCCTGGCACACCTGGAGGAGAAGAATGCCCACGTGCAGATGCTGTTCCTGGACTTCAGTTCAACTTTCAACACATGATGGGCAAACTGGAACAGCTGGGCTTCAATACACCCCTCTGCAATTGGCTGCTAGACTTCCTCACCAACAGACCTCAGTCAGTCCGGGTTGGACAGAACACCTCTGATGTCATCACCCTAAGCACAGGCTCCCCTCAGGGCTGCGTCCAGAGCCCCCTGCTGTTCACTCTGATGACACATGACTACGTCCCCAGGTTCACCACCAATCACATCATGAATTTTGCAGACGACACCACAGTGGTGGGCCTCATCAGAGACGACAACGACCAGAACTACAGAGAGGAGGTGGAGCAGCTGGTGGACTGGTGAAAAGATAACAGCCTGATCCTGAACATGAAGAAAATGAAGGAGATCATCTTGGACTTCAGGAAGAACTGTCCTAACCACGCTCCATTGGTCATCAACAGCTCAGCTGTAGAGGTGGTCAACAGCACCAAAGTTTTGGGGGTACACATCACAGACAACCTCACCTGGACGGTAAACACCAGCTCATTGGTCAAAAGGACACAAAAGCGCATGTACTTCCTGCGGAGGATGAGGAGAGCCCATCCTCACCACCTTCTACAGAAGCACCATAGAGAGCGTTCTGACCAGCTATCTCACTGTGGGGTGTAGAGACTGGAAGAAGGTGAGAAGAGAGAAAAGCAGAGATGATCTCCTGAAGTCGATCACCATCTCCTTCGTCTTAATGGTGTTAAGACACAGGTGGTTCTTCTCACACCTGTCCAGTTCTTAAATACCTTACCACACTCTTAGGTTTCTAATAACATCATTTCAGAATTAAGTCATAATTTATTCCAACCTGGAACTGGGATTTAAAAATGCATTTTTTTCATTTCAGGTCATTGACCAGCTCCTCCCGTGCAGTTCTGGTCTTATTTCTTACCTTTCTTGAGATCATTGAGACCTCACAAGGTGAGATCTTACATGGAGCCCCAGTCAAAGAAGATTGACAGTCATGTTTAGCTCCTGCCATTTTCTAATGTGGACCTTTTTTCACCAAGCTGCTTGGTAATTTTCCCGTAGTCCTTTCCAGCCTTGTGGAGGTGTACGATTTTGTCTCTAGTGTCTTTGGACAGCTCTTTGCTCTTGGCCATGTCAGTAGTTGGATTTGGAAAGGTGTCTTTGTGCAGCTTACGACCTAAAACAGGTGCATCTAATTTAGGATAATAAATGGATTGGAGGTGGACATTTAGAAGGCAGACTAACAGGTCTGAGTGTCTGAGTTTTAGCTGAAAGACAGGTGTTCAAATATTTATTTGAAGCTGTATCATACAAATAAATAGTTAAAAAAAATCATGTATTGTAATTTATGGATTTTTTTTTTTTAGATTACGTTTTTCACAGATCATGCACCTACAGTGACAATTTCAGACCCCTCCACGATTTCTACGTAGGAGAACTTGCAAAACAGCAGGGTGTTCAAATACCTTTTTCTCTCTGTATCCACTCCCGTCTTGAATGAAAAAATGAAGCCCAGCAAACTTACTTTACTTGCAGTGTTATATATTAATTATTCTAAATTCTCTCCCCCTACATCTGGTCTTGTTTAGAATGTGATTCTCTTCCAAACATCTTCTTTAGACGGATGATTTTGTCTTTTAAGTTATCAGTTGACACTTTGTTCCTGTTATGACCATGTGTTTTACTGTTTGACCTGTAGGAGGCAGTGTCCCCCTGTGAGCTTGATACACGGTTCTATAAAGAGGGGTTTATCATGGGTAACCGAGGACCAGAAATAAGTACATTGGTGCAGTGCCTTGGTGTTTGAGAGTTTAGTAGCAGAGCAATTGATAACAGGATTTATGTAAACAAACAGTCTGACTGTTTTAGTGTTTTGTAGAAAGCTGTCATTGCTGAAGAAGCCGTTGTGTTAAAGTTTCCACTAAGCTGAAAATATTCAACTGCTTCCTTGTCTGCTGCAGAAATCTGCTCGTTATGTGCCAATGTTATAATTTAACTCCAGCAGACCATAAAAAAAGACAGTGCTGATCCTCAAATATCTCCTCAAACAGCTGTTTCACAATGTAACGAGAAAACATTTACCAGTTTCCACTTGTGTTGGTTTAGTGTTTTTGCAGAGACTGAAATCAGATCAGGAATCTGTCCCAGAGGTGATCAGCAGCATTTTAATGAGAGTCCAGGGAGACAGTCTGTTGAAATGTTTGCTACCGAAACCCCCCACAGCTACTGCAACCTCTGCAGGGTAAATTACTTTCTGTGGTCAACATGACTGAACGTACGCGTGCAGCCAATGTCCCAGCTGAGCTCCTACCTCACTGTTGCTCTGCACCGTTTCCTCTGGCTCTCAGAGACTCGGAGAAGTAGAAGTGGTGAAAATTCAACTCAAAGTCCTTTCATGTTTAGTTGTGTTGGAAGGTCACCAATATAGAAATCATATGAGAGAAAATATATAAAATCAGTCAAAACAATCTCCAAAGGGAAAATAAACTAATATAACTGTCTTTATTGAGCTGTTAGATGCTGTAAACTGGACATGGTCTCCTCGGAAAGGACAGCCTGAAAAGAATGATCAAGGCTATTCTGTAATGATTGATGGATCCTTTGCAAAATATTTTCATGAGGTCCCAGAACAAGCCCAAGAATAAAACCAGCTGCCTTGAGCTTTTTAAATCACACTCTGATGCTGCAGCTGTGACAGCAGACCACAGGGGAGATCACAATCTCCAGAAAAGATTTGCAATATGCAACATTTTGCAGCAAGCAGGAGGACCAATTCTGCTTCTGCTCTCTTGAGCTTAATCAATTTCCCTTTTTCTTATGCTGGAATCTTTATTGTGTTTACATTCAGTATGAGAGGGTTGTTTATCCATGATGCCAAAAGCGGTTCATCAACTCTTTATACTCAGCCTCTTCTTCATCTCTGATGCATCAGAGATTGGGACTCACTAGAGCTTATTTCCCTGCTCTACACAGAGGCTAGTTGGCAGAGGTGTACCTTTCCACAGCCGCCTGTCCTTGCTGAGCATGAGGGATAAAAGTTCTAAAGGCGATTTTTTTTTATAAGCTATTTACATGTTTCCATACAGAGGGATCCAGATATTTACACACTAAATAAAAAGATGCATAACTTTTATTTTTTCCTAGTTTGACATTAAATCAGACTAAACTCTTCCTCTTTTAGGTCAGGTAGGATTTAAAAAGATTATATTTACTAAGGGTCACAATGGGGGAAAAAAACCCAACAAATTCAGACATTTGAATGGATCAAGATTACTTTTTTATTGGTACACTGTTTTGGAGCCCAGATGGAGATATAATGGATTTCTGAGACTATAAGGGTTAAACGGATGATCTATCAAACACACTGCTTATACTAAATAATTCAACTAGGACACCAAATCTGTTTCATACATAGGTACAGTTCACAGATACCCAAATGAGACACTGATCTAATTGAACAGTAGGCATTGTGGGGAATCTAAACCCTTCTATTTTTCAGAAAGGTGATGGGTTCTGTGTCCCAAATCTGAACATGTTTTTTGTGGGACATTTTTGAAACAACCTATGATCAAGTGACAATGCTGTCTGAGGAGAGAGTCATTATCTACAGTTAAAGATATTTTGCATCAACATAGGCTAAAAGGCCACTGAGTGGCAGGAGCCATTCCAGAATAATGGAGAGATGAGTGGATGGGGAGATAATTGGATGGAAGGATGGTGGATGAAAGGATGAGTGGGTGGTTGGTTAATTGGTCGAAGGATGAGTGGATGGGCTTACAACTAGATGGAAGGATGAGTGGGTGGT